AGAGCTTGAGATACACTTGTGGATATAAAGCAAACATCTCAATGTTGCAATCATCATTTCAATATAAAACCACAAAGTATGTTTTTATATCAAAATGAACAGAAGATGTGTGTTTACTAAGAACTAGTGGGAGCATAGTGAAATTCCTAATCTTGTATGAATGAGACATACTTAATCATTTGAAATCACATTCTGACTAAGCAAGGTCGTTTTCACCTTGAATCGGAAGGTATTTCTAAAATAAAAGACTTAGGAAGGAGAAGATAAATTATTGGAATGTAAAATCTATAAGGGATAGATAATATGAATGTTAAAAGTTTCATGTCCTTATACATATATTGGAAATATCTTGAAAGGGATCAAGACACAAGATTCTTTTGGAGAATTCTTGGCATTTTCATATAGCATCATTTTGAGCTAGCCTCAAAAGTACATAGCTCATAGGCTAAAACTAAATGAAATGATTTATATTCTATTTGATTGGAAAATGAATTCATCATTTACGCTATATTATGCATAGGACATGGTATTTGATCATGTTGTAAGTTTGTCATAGGATACTACTTGAATACATGGTTAAGCCACTAGATGAGTAAAAGTGCATTATAAGAGTAGTTTATAGGAACTAAGAGAATGTATATGATACAATCAATTTAGAAAGGATCTTTTTGGAAAGATCTACACAAGATGTTAATGTCTAAACAAATATAAATAATTATGAATTATAATTGGATTTTTGACTTCATTATGGAATGAAGAGTAAGTTTTGTTTGAATAAGGTCCAAACAAAACATAATGACCCAATCTACTACAAAATAAGAATACACTACTTTAGAAGTTGAATTCAAATATGATTGGATGAATGAGATCATTGAAAACTATGTTGATTTCTGCCATTCGAGGATCACATAGAAATCTTAATTTGTGACTTCAAGAGTATACTTAATCAAGATAAGAGACTCTATATCATGAAAGAACACCAATCAATCTCCAAGATATTAAACTATACCTAGAGTAAAGTTATGTATAGAGATGAAAGTATTCATAGAATTCACACAAATTAAATTTTGACAACTCCATTAATAAAGTCATTCTTTTGAGCAATTGAGCTAAGTATGAATGGTCACACTTCAGCTATAAGACTTTATTATTCTAGAAATGGGTTTTTGATTTGGATTTATCATTTGGATATTAGAACATTATAACAACTATTAGACAATGTTATGATATATTAGGATATAGTCATCTCATTAATACTTGGTGTGTTCTATATTAACAAGTTTAATCCATAAATAATGTTATTATTCTAAATGTTCATAGTCGGTTATAACTATGGGAGCAATTATGAAGTAAGACTAATATGAATTGGATTGGTTGATTCTCACTAGATGAATGTAACCAAATTTCATAGGTACTTGTCAGAGAACTAGTATTGAATTGACCCGCATCAAGATCAGCTCATGGATCGCTATCATGAATGATACTTGATTAAAAGGTACTATCCTTGTATCCTTAACACCTGAGATACATAGTGGGACTTAAGTGTAGGGAGTACAATGCTTGATATGGTCAAATGTTGTTCCATAAACAGGAAGTTACAAAAGCAATTTTCAGGTATGGTGTGAACTATGAAAGAGGCTTATGTAGTCAAGATGATATTTGTTCCTCTTATGTGTTGAGAGTTAGACATCTAAGGCGCCTTACCAAAATTTGAACAACTAATGAGATGGATCGCAATCCGAATCTCATGTTCAACATGATGTCTGTAGCAAAGGGATAACTGATAAACTTACCTTATACACTAATTGTAGCTTTGAGCTTTTTGGGAATTAGGCGTTGATAGAATGGAACAAACAACCATATGGTCTTAGGGGCAGTGAAATGTTGCTAGACGTTCACCGCTATCTATATCAGTCTAATATGAGTCTTGCACAAGTGGGAGATTGAAAGATCTAGTATGCTCAAGAGTCATATTAATGTGATATTGCTAAATAACATATGATACTAATGGGTCACACTAACAACTTGATATAATTGATTATTTATTAGAATTTGATTTTAATAAATTTTCAATAAAACTCTTATAATTAAATTGGAAATTATTTGTTTCATGGAAATAATAATTTTCATTAACAAGTAACATTATATTATTTCATATGGTATGAATTAATAAGTCATGCACAACTTTTTTGGACTAGTTGAAAACCTTTTGTCTTTTACTAAAAAGACAATTTATATTTTATAAACCTTGAGTTTATAAAATTTAAACTAACTTTCCTCTTCTTTATGCAATTTTTGAGATTTGCATAAAAAGAAGAAGAGTATGGCTTTTCTATTAGTTTATTCAAAAGAATTTAAGCATGGGAGACATATTTATGACATGGGGACATATGTGCTTAAAGTGTTAAGACCTAATAGTTAATACCTTTACTTTATGTATATAAATAAGAGGTTTGCATTTGGCTAGAGTGCTCATCATTCACTTCTTGCTAGTGGCCGAATCCACTCCTCCCTCTCCCTTTCTCTCTAGTTTTGGTTATAAAACATGAAGAACACTTGCATCTTCATGCCTTCTTTAAGTTCATATTGGTTATGAACTTAAAGCTTAAGGGTTTAAGATTTTTGGACTAGCATCTACATCAACTTGAGTCATTGTTGGTGTCTCAAAGGTTCCACATTCTTCATCAACTTCCAAGCCTCCCAAGAGGACCCAAAGAACTACAAAGGTTGTTATTTCTTCACCTCTTCTTTGGTTGGTGTTATAATCTTTCAATAACTTGCAAGAAGATCCTTGGTGGGTATAAAATGTTTATGTTATTTCAAAATTAAAGCCTTCTGTTGCTATATTTTTCTAGTTTATGAAACTATTTTTGAAATAAAACCCAACAATTGGTATCAAATTATCAAGAAAAGAATAAGATGGGGCATGGTTAGGAGTCATGGAACCAAAAGGGAGAGTTGTTTCATCAAAAACCACATGGCGAGAGATAACGATTTTTAAGTGTCAAGATTGAGACACCAATATCCTTGTGATTTAAGGGATATCCAAGAAAGACATGCAGGGTAGAACAATGGGATAATTTGCGAGGAGAAACAATATGGGGAAAACAGAGACAACTAAAGACACATAAGTGATGATATGTTGGTTTAATGTGGTACAGTTTGTGAAAAGGAGTGTTATGATTGATGGTGATGAAGGGAAGAATGTTAATAATGTGAGTTGCCATGTGAAGGGATTCAACCCAACAATTGAGTGGAAGATGGGCATGAAATAAAAGAGTAAGAACAATATTGTTGATTGTGCGTAACATGTGTTCAGACTTTCCGTTTTGTTAGGAAGTGTGAGGACAAGAGAAGCGCATTTGAATGCCATTAGAGTCACATAGATTTTGAAACTGAGAATTAGTATATTTCCCACCATTATCACATTGGAAAGCTTTTATATCGGATTGAAAGTGATTGTGAATAAGCACGCAAAAATGAACAAATGTAGAATAGACATTGGATTTTGCACGTAATGGATACACCCATAAATAATGAGAGTAATCATCAAGACATATAACATAATATTTGATGTCAGTAATACTCGTGACCGGAGAGGTCCATATGAGAGTGAATAATGTCAAATGGAGAATGCGAAACAGAATTAGATAGAGAAAAAGGTAATTTAACATGTTTGCCCATTTGGCATGATTGACATCAAGTAGAAATTTTATTATTGTTTGAACAAGAAATATAACAACTATCAACTAAAGACTTGAAAACTTGACGAATGAGATGTCTAAGATGCAAATGCCAAATAAACGGAGCAGCGAAAAGAAATGCTTGAGGAGGAGTTGTGGTAGGGTGGAGCTCACCGATGTTATCACATTGCATGAGAGTTTGGATGGTTTGAAGGTCCTTCGCAATAAAACAAAACATGTCAAATTAAATAGAAATCATATTGTCACAAGTGAAACGACGCACAAATTAAGTTATTAATAATTTGAGGAGTAATCAAAATATTTTTCAAATAAAGAGGACGATATGGATTTAATAGAGAGGAGTTGCCAACTTGGCTTACATGAATCGAAGAACCGTCAACTATCAAAACAGATGAAGAAAAATTCGTGCAATTATTTGAGATGGTTTTGAGAATACCTTGGTTGGCGTGTAGATGCAAGGTAGCGCCAGTGTCTTTGTACCACACATCGTTGCTCGGAAAATGAGTTTTCGGCAAATAGAAGGTGGGTGTGTAGATTTTTTGTTTATGTTTTATAAAAAGACAGGGCCACATAAAAAATTGTTTTATGCTCAAAAAAATTCACAATAATAAAAGAAAATTATTGATTATAGAGTATTAAAAAAAGATTAATAATAGGGTACATGATCGTGATCCTTGAATTATATGATATTCGTCTTGCTTGTCGAGTTCTTTGATGGTATATTTAGGACAGATGATATGTTATTCAGAAGTTAAACTTCAACAGAAAAATTTGAAAGTAAAATTATTTCACAAATTCTCGCACTACTTTATTTCACGGGATCAACAATCCTTATATAGATAGTATTTTACAAACAATGATTTTATAAACGACACACAACAAACTAACTATTGTTGGTCATCTATCTATTCTAGACTTATCTATGCTAAACATATACCTAATTTTACATTATTACATATAGGACATATTTATTAGATGCTATTATGCATCATTGACCTATGTGTCATACATACCATACATTGATATTACTACATATTTGACAAAATTCATATATCATAATTGTTACATGTTTGACACCTAATAATTATATCATGCTTGAAACAATAGTTTTTTGTTTGTTGTATCTCTTCCCTCCGAATAATCGGGGGTTTGACACCATTATTTGTCATGGTTCCATTATTGGTGCTTCTAGGTTTTCTTTACCCCTCTATTGTCTCCACTCATGGTGTCATACACTTTCCCTAAGATAAACACCATTTGGAGATCAATATTTCCATCAATAACTTGTGTTAAAGGCTTAAAGCATGATCAACTTAAACCCTACATTATTACAATGATAACTTAATATCTGTTAACAAAACAAAAAGGATGTATGCATTAAAAACACAATTTGGTCAACTTATGACCCGTTTAAATTCAAACAATTACAAGTTACAACCTAATTTACAAGAATGCATGAGCAAATGTGTATATCAATCTCTCTTATTACAGGGCCTAAATTTACAAGCATGATAGAAGTGAAAGGACTTGCAAATTGCCCCTGAAACTGAAACCACCAAAATTTTCAAATCTGTTCACTTGTTATCTATACAAATATTTTGGACCTTTTGCATAAGTAAAACAATCGCACATAATGCAGTATTTTTTGTGTGTTGATGATTTGTAGACCTTCATATTTTCCCATGACTTTATTTACCACTTGGGAATTTAGTAACAATTACATATAACATATGGTATCACATTTGAAGAAGATTATTCACAGTAACAGAAGCTGACATTGTTCGCTCCAAATCCTGCAAATTGATTAAAACGAAACCATCATACTTACTGTTTTTGACGACTTACGAAAAAAGAATTCCATAAGGGTATTTTGGGAAATATAATATAATGTATGAAACTGTTCACCTGCATGATTATATTACGAGGGACATGAGGAAGCACTTCACGAACAATTTCAGCCATTTCAACGATACGTCTTAAATCCTGATATGTAAGATGTAATCCAACCCTATTGAGAGAATCATCAGGAATCACTGTGGGAGGATGATTATGAACAGGAGCATTTGAAGAAGAAGAAGAAGAAGATGATGATGACGTGGCATGAAAGGCATTGATAGGCCAGAAGTTCCATGAAGGTAGAGTGGTATGAGTATGTCCATGTGGATTTTGCCATTCAAGTGCAGAGCTTAATTCACGTGCAATTTGCTCATCATTTGAAATATCTTCAGTATTCGGTGTAACATTTCCAAAAAGAGGTTTTCGACATGTGGGACATGAGTAATACTCTCTTTGACCTTGGTCCAACCTGGCATTGACACGTGTCATTCATTTGAAAGCATTCACAAGTTACTATAGTTTAGTATTTTACCATGATCTGAGGCATGAAAGATGAAAAAGATGGTTGCATGTGAGCTTTTTAGCCTTCGTCATTGGTTCCTGTATAACGGATAAATCTTTAAAAAAAAGAAAAAGAAAAGGAAAAAGAAAAAAAATTAAGTTGAAGTTTACACGACAAATGGCACATTCATCATCATAAGACTTAATCTCTTCAGATGTTGCATCAGGTAGAGCTCCATTAAGGGTGGCTAAAGCTAATTGTAACTTAATAAATCCTTTTGTACGTTTTACAATTGCACTTAATAAAGCCTGCATATGTTTTGTAAAATTTACATAAATATGGATTATGGATGAAATTTGAAAGGCTCTGATAAAATAAAAGAGCTTACACGTATATTTAGAAAAATGACTGCATCAAGAATATGAACATTTACACCATGAAGCCATAAAATATGCACATAATGAGCAAGAGCCATTAGCAAACTCATCATTTCCAATAAAAACCCTAAATTACGTGATAAAACACTCTTCCATTCCCACATTGCACCTGTTTTATAAGAATAATTGTAATAAGTAAACAAGTAATAACCACAAAAATATAATCATCATATATGATATTATAGATTATAAATCGATAAATTGATAAATCTTGCCTGCTGATGATATATCAATAAGTTTTGACATTTTGGAATTTGTGGAGGTGCCTGTTGAGTGATATTTCCATATATCAAGGAGTTGAAATCCATGGGCTAAAATAGCCTGTGAGAAAGGAAAGAAATGAGTTAATAATCAAATTCAGAAATATATATATATATATATATATATATATATATATATATATATATATATATATATATATATATGAAAATAAAAAAGATATGCACCTGTAGTGTCTCAAAAGCAATACTGAGAGGCTCAAAGAATAATAACAAATCTAGAGATGATGGTGTTGTATGGTAGATAAGCAGACATATTCTTATCCTGAAAGTAGCAATAAAGAACATGAGAAAGATCAAATGAGGATGTAAATAAATACATTTAAAAAAAAAGTAAGTTTCTTGGAATCCGTGTAATTGTATAGAAACAAAATGACTAATTTAGCCCTATATACCAGACCACATCAACTGAGATAACCAGTAATAAAACACAGAAAACACGAAAGTAAGATCGGGGAGTTGCAGAAGGAGATGAATTCAAGGATTGAAGACGATCCCTTGCTAAAGCTTGAAACATCTGAAAAACATGAAAGATAAAAAGTTAAAAACAAGATAAAACATTTGTACCCATAAAATTTTAAAGAAACCATTGAAAAGAATACCTTCAAAGAGCTCAATACAATCAACCATGTTGACCATAATCCAACTTGAATGACTGTTGGAGGGACTACCAATGGAAGGAACATTCCCTGAATCACAATCAAATATGTGTTCCTTATCCAGAAATTGAATGTCATATGTCAAGAATGAAGAATCACAATCAGAATATACTTCAAAGATGACTGTTTCTACCTTGTACATAACATAATTAACCAATTGCTCCAACAGCTTCCGAGATTCAAATGCATGAAGCTCCCCAAAAAATATTGTCTGCATGAAGAAATTAGAAACCATCATCAAAGAATCAAAATACAAGATAAATGTGAGTGCTATGATGCTGAATACCTTAAGAGATAGGATGATGAGTAGATATATGTTGATCACAAAATTGGCTACAAGTGCAATTGTGGAATTAGGACTTAAAAGAAGCAGCTCCAGTGCATGGGTGGCATCTTCAGGGTGAAGAAGAATGTTTCTGTTTAAACCATCTGATTTGAGTTCTGTAAGTGAAGGTTCTGTCCAATAATGGAGGGTTGTAATGCTCAACACTGTGAAGATTGCTGAAACTGGTAAGTAGCTTACACCCATGATATACTACAATGAAACCAGAGTTCCAGGATTTCATGAGATGAATTGATCACAGTGTGCAAAAAGAGATGGAGAAGCACACAAACTATAATTTAGTTTGTAAACCTTCCATCAAAACCCTTTGAATCCTGGAACAGAGTCTTGATTTCTGTAATCTGTGTCATTGATACTGCAACAATTAGTAAATTAGACAGGAAATGAAGAAACGAAAGGATACATGGTACATTTAACAATTATATTACTTGTAATCAATAATGTCATTTCAAATTTGAACATACGAAATTAGGTTCGCTCTTCCTTACAAACAGTTCAATCTGATCGTATATACACAGAAGTTGACCTCACATCAACTGAACTTATATACAAGTTCAAACAAAGAATCCAATGTGGAGACTTGAGAGAAAGACAAATTTGTAGCATTAAGTACAATTCTCGATTCCTACACTCAAATGGCAACCTAGAAACCCTAGAATTGCTAACAAATTACGAAATTATCGATATGATAAACAAATGATATAACTGATGTAACATGTATATAAAGATATGGGAAAAAGAATTTACATGGACATTTCTGTAAGACGGATGAAGAAGCAGATGATCAGCAGATGCGTGTGCTGATGAACTGATTGCAGATAAAATTCTAAATACTGCAATATTCATTCATCGTAAAACCAGGCACACATGATAATCGTCTTGGGTGTCAAACATGTCCCGATCTAAGACCATGACGTGAAATCTTCGGTGGGAAATTCTGTATCTTGGCCTCGCGCACAACAACGATCGAGAGAAATCGACCAAAATTTGCGGGAAAAGATGGAAGAACAAAAGTTGATGAATTTTGCAATAAAATATCTCAAAAAAGAAATCCGTGCATTATTGAAAAACATAACTATTTGACGTATAATTGTTCGTTTCTAACTTAAAGCGTAGGGCACAGTAAAAACTTACGAGAAAATGATTTACAAAGAAATGAATTCTCGGTGTTCAATTGTTCGTTTATATTATTTACCATTTAATTTGTTTTTTATGTTAAAAAAGTATCATTATAGATCAATATCAGTATTTTTTCTGAAACAAACAAAATTAAGGTTATTGGTAAATTACAAGGTACAACTTATTTTTGTTATCTCATAATTCATTATACGTTTTTAATCTTATATTTTAATTTTATTTAAAAAATCTATAAATTTGTAGAAAAAATATTTTTGTGAAACGTCAATCTTTAAAAGATTGAAATAAGATTGACATTTAAATATTATCTTCAATTGTAACTTCAATCTTTTTCAAGTTTTTACAAACAAAAATATCAAATAGATAAAAACATCAAACACTTACATAAACATTTGAGTGATACATAAAAGTTTAAAAAGAGTGTTTTTCTCTCCTAGAATATCAACCACAAACCATTTGTTCTTAAACTTTTTTATATCACTTAAAAGTTTGTGTAAATGTTTGATGTTCATATCCACCTGACTTTCTGGATTATTGAAAATTGAAGTTCCAAATGAAAATAATTTAAATGATTGTTATGATAATTTCCATTTATTATAATTATGATGGTTGGTACGTCAAATTTTTATGTTTATTATTTTTTATCAAGATAAGAAAGAGGTTCACTAATAGATTTACAAAATAAGTTTTTATAAAATAAATATTTTACCAGCTAATAAAAGTTTAATTAAATTAAAATAAAAAATTAAGAAGTTGTAATGAATTATGAGATAACAAGATTTTATTTTTGTTCACATTTATTCGCTTTCCTTATGTGTACATAATTTATCAGTGAACTTATTTTTGATGTCAGTGAACTTATTTTTGGTGTTCAAAAAATACTCTTACGACCTACAATAACCAATCATAATTGATTTTTTACAAAAAAGTTCACACGTAAATGATATATAAAAAAAAAAAAGAGTAAATGTGAATAAAATTGAAAGTTTATTACCCTCATAGGTTATTTTTACTTAAGAGAAAAATTTTGATCCATTTTTAGGTAAATCAATTAACTTAATATTTTTTTAAGAATATAGTAAATCAATAATTTGACCGCCTAAGTGTTTGGGAGATTTATTCAATTTAATTAGTTGCAATCAGGTCCGTTCTAGATGGTGTGCGATAAGGACAACCGTTCAAGACCCATCTTTTAAAGGTATCCAAATTTTTTACAGAATTTATTAATATAATGTTTGACATTATCGATTTGGAATATATTATTAGTGATTTTGCATCTCAAAAAGTTAGAAGAAGTATTTTTCTTTAAATATATGAGTTTTTATAATCAAACATGTTATATTTAGAAACTAGTATAGATAAAAAAAAATTCAATTATTAAGTTAATATAAAAACAGTTGATGCAATTTGTGTATCTTAAGGGTCTTTTTTCTTCTTTCGTCCAAAATATCGTTGCAATTCTTCTAAAATGCCAATAAATATAATTGTAAGGGGAAAGGCAATAACAACTCAAATATAGGAAAACGTAATAAGTAAACCAAATGTAGGTGAGAGAGATTGATGTTGGACATGATTTTCATAAATCATACTTGTTCATTTGTGTCTATTTTCCATGATACAATAATCGAGATAGTTTGTATTGTCGATTTCCAACCTATATTTGTTTATTTGTGTCTATTTTCTATGATATAATAATCGGGATAGTTTGTATTGTCGAGTTCCAACCTAATCTTGTCCTAAAAGTTATAGGAACAAAAACATGATCAATGGTTTCTACCGAGTGTTGATTGCTCTTAATTGTGCTTTACTTAGGTGTATAAAGATATGTGTATTATAATAAGTCTAATTCCCAATTTAAAGTGGTGGGTTTAATATGAAGTCGTAGATGATCATAATCCCATGTTAGAACATTATTTATATTGGGAAGTCACAAACCTTAAAAGACACTTGATAGTGAAAAAAAAAAAAAAAAAAAAAGATGAAATGCATAATTTGCCTTAAACCAAAGGATGATTTATGTAATTTACTCGTAAATGTATATAAACTTAGGCTATGTGTGCCACGTCATAACTACCTGATAAATTAACTAATTTTTTGAGTTTTTTTTTTTAATTGTCATGTGTGGCGAACCAAAAAAAACCTTATAAGTTACATGTAACGTCCTAAGAATTAATAGAAAATTTTCATTTTAAAAACAATAAATCATACAAACGAGTTGTTCCAAAACCATTTAAAGTAAATATATCATTAAAACATTAGAGTAAAAATCACAAATAGTCAATGCGAAAAACTTTGTGGGATGTTGTGCGGTCATGCCAGACCATTCCCTTTAGAAATGGAAGTATCTGAAACCATAAACATAAAACCATAAACACAAAATTTAGTGAGTTTCCCAAAATACCCCATATCATACATAACATAGAGATTGCTATGTGTCAACCATAGTCTTATAATTACTATCATGTCATGAGTCGTATCATAGTCTTTCCTTGCTAAGTTGGGGGCCAAAACCCAAGTTTTAGAAACAAGTGCCAAGAGTCACCTCTTGGTCTTCCATGCAAGTATCATAAAGACAACTAGCATCCTACATATAACTATCATGGTCTAGACCCTGGTCTTGTATATAGTTTGTCGGGAGCCATATTTAGGTCTTTAGTACTATTATCAGGGGCCACCTCCTAGTCTTCCTACATAACATAATCCAGTGGGTCGGCATTGGTGTCTTCAACCCACGACAACAATGAGGAAACTCACCTTGATCGGTAAACGAATATATCTCACACACGAGTTGTCAGTGCTGAAGTCTCTCCCACTAACATATCCACAAACTAAGCCCTAATTAGCAATTAAGGTAAATACTCCAACTTGGAAATTCCAAATACCAAGATAAATCATCATTTGGGCAAAAGACCATTTTACCCTTCTAAGTCCTCAACCCCTCACAGCTTACCAAAAGTCAAAATGGTCAAAAAGTCAACGACCAACTTTTCATTGACTTACGTGTGGCCTATGTCTTACTCTATGTACGTAGAGTCTTATCTAGAAAGCATGCAAGAATCAGGTTATGACGGGGTGTAGCCTAGATTAAGGCCCACGTACAGCGTCCCTTGCCAAACTTTATTTTAAGCACTTAATGCATTAAGACCTTTCACTCAAAGCTCATATTTGATTCCTACTAGCTCCATAATGGATAAAGCTTCCAAATTTATCCATTAGGATGGTCCAAACAACCAATATCTAGTCTTTATGTCTCAATGGGGCCAAAAATGCATCTTTCTCATCGTAATCCATTAAGTCTAGGTCTCCAACCTGTAGATCTGAATCATTGTGATGTTAGATGTGTAAAGTTCCCAAATTTATCCATAATAAGATCACAAACTTTCAATATCTAAACTTTATGCACTAAATTGACCAAAAAAGTGACTAGTATGACAAATAACTAGATCTACGAAACCAGTGAGTAAGTTAGAAGATTTTTACTCACAATGGTCCAGGAATGATGTAATCTTGTTGGATCTATACTTGAACTCTTCTTCTATATACTTTGCCACCACCTTACTCTTCAAGATTCAACCATCCAATAGAAAAATATCTCATAAATGATGCCAAGGCTCAATAACAAGTGAGAGGAGGCTAGGGTTTCTCAAGGAATGATCTTAGGTGATGGAGGGTGGCAATGAGAGGGTTTCCCATGAGTTAAAACCCTTAAATAAGGCTCAAAATCGAAGATTTAGGGTTTTGATCTGCCTAGATTACACCCTGCGTAACATTAGTTATGCCATGTGTAATTCATTAAACCCCTGTTATGTCACGCATAACTTTTATTCACGCCCTGCGTAATTCAAAATCCCTAATTTCCACTTTAACTTCAAACAACTATAACTTCTTCATTTTAACTCCATTTTCGACATTCTTTATATGCATAGAAAGGTATTGAAGAGCCCCACAATCCTACCTAATTACTTTTGTCTTATCACATACCAAACTAAAACCATAATCCATACAAGAAGCCCGATCTATAACTTTTCCCTTTTTTCCCTTTGGGTCCAGCATACGAATCAAGGGATTAGACCTCACAACCAATATTATGAACCTTTAATAAGGCCCAACTTTACTTTCTCAAAACCCAAAGCCTTTATATGATCAAATTACGAACCACATTCCATGAGTTAAGGTACATCTGAAATGGGGTATTACAACTCTTCCCCACTTAAATTAGATTTCGTCCTCAAAATCATTCCTTACCACTTCCTCTGCCGCACCAGTCAACCCTGCCTGAACATCCTGAGCTCTTATTTGGACTGAAAATTCAACTCATACAGAAGACCATCCTCTAACATTGTCATCAATCCTAATCTTAGCAGAATTCCCTTAACCTGACAGGGGAATGGACCTTGCCACTTTGTCCTTAGCCCACGAAGGAAAAACCCAACTGCTCTGCCCAAAAACTGAAACCCCAAACCTCGTCAGACTTCCCGGTAGACCGAAAAAGAATCCAATCTGCAACCTGAACATAACGAAACCCTTCCGACATTGAATCATCTTGTTTATAACAGGTAAGAACAAAATCCCTAACATTCCATCGTTGTTGAAACCTTGCACTTGTAAACAAAGGTGACTTCCAACACGAGTCTCAATCATTGGTGTCATACCAACATAAAATCACATTCTGCTAACCAGCATTTTCATTTTGATGTACCCGAGATCTCCTGAGTCTCATATTAACCTCCCAATTAACTGAAGTACCGGATTTCCAACCGGTTGTTGTAGCTGATACTTCACACACGACCGTATCACAAGATTCCAACCAAGAGTCTATCTGACAAAAACTATCCTAGCTTGTTTTCCAACACGGTTCCAACAACCCTCCCATTCCATCCAGGAACAACATAACCAACCATCACATGAACATTAGATAGTCTG